TTATCATCTTGATCTGACTTTAAGTAGTTATATATATATATATATATATATAATAAAAAAATATGAATGCACATAAATCTCAAATATTACGTTCTCTTGACAAATTAAAATACACAAAGTACTAAATGAGCTTTGGTACGAATTAAAGTAAGAAGTGAGAAAATGTTCTGATCCGTGGTTAATATGATGCTGTCATTATATAACTCAAGGTCTAAAGGGTCTAGAAGTAAACTACTCACATATATGTAGAATAATAGCCAAGAATTTAAAAACAAAAATAATTTATAGATTGTGCTGCAAAAACTCACAAATTGTTTTCTTTTTTCAAAACTCAAAATTGACTGAGTCATAATTCATAAAAACTGGAATATAAAATTATGATTTGTTTGTTTGATTTGAATTATGCGCAAAGCTACACGAGGGCTATCTGTGCTAGCCGTCCCTAATTTAGCGGTGTAAGACTAGAGGGAAGGCAGCTAGTCATCACCACCCACCGCCAACTCTTGGGCTACTCTTGTACCAATGAATAGTGGGATTGACCGTCACATTATAACGCCCCCATGGCTGAAAGGGTGAGCATGTTTGGTGGGACGTATATAAAATTATTAAACCATAAAAACTTGTCACAAAAAAGTGCAAATTCAGAACACAAGAGACACAGAAGACAGAAATTGCATAAAGGTTCAATTCATCAATATATATATATAGTTTGACACTTGTCACAAAAAAATGTTGTAAGTTAAAGCATATTTGTGAAATACATCATATTTTTATCAACAAGCAATACGAAAGTTAATGAAAGCTACAGTAAATGAAAGTGTTCATTTTGGTTGCTGTTATGTGTGATAAGAAAGAGGTTAAAGAAAACTTGAAAAAGCAGGTTCCTTACAGGCAATGTATGCGAGATAACATTAAGTCCAGCAAACTGTATAACACTTTCTACTGCTAGGGCCAAACCAGTGTGAAGAGTTAATCCATCAAATGTGTAGTGGAAGTTCGAGATGTATTGCTGTATGATAAAAAAGAAAACATTAATGTACCACAAAACAAGTAGTTTGAACAAAATACATGAAATGTACAAATACTTACTACTACATGCTCTATTAAAGTTCAGAATAGTTAATAAGTTTAAACGTTTTCAAAATATTATTTTTAAAAATTTCTAGAGCAAAACTTGCATGATGAATATATCGACTAGTAAAAAAAAATTAGGTCATTATGAATACGTATGTTTGAAAAAAAAAAACGTTTATTTCTATTTTTTTTTGCTGATTTTTATCCATTGTTCAATTTTGTGAGTGAATGTGTCTGTTTTTAAAGTATTACCCAAAAAAACAAGAAAAGTACATGCTAACAATTTCTTCAATTTTGGATTCAAAACAATTAATTATAATAAGATAATTTTTTCCACTTATGTAATATATGTAGTTCTTTAATAATAAAAATCTTTGACATGACATGTTTTTCAAAACAAAATTATATACTTAAATCTGATGCTTCCATATAAATGTTTAACCGAATGCCATGATATGAAAATTGGCCAGATTCATTACTCATTACTGAAGAACTAGTATTTTTGAAGTAAATTCTAAAAAAACACATTTAATAAACTATTAGTAAGTTTTTAAAAAAGGGTCATAGATTATTTAAGCTTAAAGTATCCATACATATAACTGTTTAGTTTGTTTGGTTTGAATTTCGTGCAAAGCTGCACAAGGGCTATCTGCACTAGTCATCCCTAATTTAGCAGTGAAAGACTAGAGGAATGGCAGCTAATCATCACCACCCACCGCCAACTCTTGGGCTACTCTTTTACCAATGAATAGTGGGATTGACCATCACATTATAATGCCCCCCACAGCTGAAAGGCTGAGCAGGTTTGGTGGAATGAGGATTTGAACCTGTGACCCTCAGATTGCGAGTCAGGCACCCACCTGGAAATGCTAAGCCATCTGTTTAGTTACTAAAATATTTATTTAACAAATAGCTTGTTAAATTTCATGTAAAGCTACATGAGGGCTACCAGCATTAAGCCATCCCTAATTTTCAAAGTCACAGAATAGAAGAAAGGCAGCTAATCTACAGCACCAACTTGGTCATAAGCTTGCTTTATCTAGGAATACATAAAACAAATGTCCACAAACATGTAATAACATATTAAGGAAGTACATACAACCCTCAACCAGCACCACAAAAAAAAAAAAAATGTAGCAGTTTTATGAATGTGTTACAAGCAGGGACTTTAAACAGTACAAACTTCAGGATTAAATAATTTATTCTTACCAATAATCAAAATTTTAAAAATGTATTTGATTATATGAGCATTATAAAAATAAAGGTGTTAGAAAAATCTTATACAATTATCATAAAAACATAAGACTTGCTTCTATTAAGGACACTTGTTTATAATTTAAAACTATACATTCAAACAGGAAAGCACTTTTCATAGTAAAATTATTAAACAACAAGTTGCAAATTTATCAAAAAGAAAAGACAGAAAACATTAAAAGTGCATAGCAAGTTGGACAAACTGTTAGTCATTCAATATGCAATACAGAATGTCTGCAGTATTAATAAAATACTTTTAATATCTTTGAACCTACTTCCAAGTGAGATCGGGTAGCTTGTGGTGCCCACTTCACAGCTTCTTGAATAATACCTTGACATCTTGCAGCAAAATCTCGAACAATGCTCTGAAATGAAAATTCAAACAAATTAAACATTGAAGTCAATTGTTTTGAACATTAGATCTTTAGATGTTGAAATCAAAAATAGTATAAATTAATAAATTCTACTAACTTGGATGGAAGATACTTTCCTACAAAAGCAAGTGAAATTTTTTACACTGTAAGCTGCATAATACTAGTAAAAAATATTTTAAATACGCATGTGTCATCTATAAATTATTCAAGAACATTAAACTTTTAACCCTTTCAATGTGGCTGGTACATATATGGCCTCTATTTTTTTTTTTCTGATTCTTGCTTTTAATGTTCCTGTACTCGATGTTGGATCATAAATTTTTGTGGTAATGTTGTCCATTGATATTCCGCTATTTGTTGCCATACAGTAATTCAATAATTTCTGCCTTCTGTGCATCAGTTTTCCTCAAGATGTCACAGAGGCCTGAATGACAACCAAATCTGGAAAGGATCCAGATTAGTTTAAGGATTTAAAAGATAGCACTGGCTTTGATGAGTTGATGCAGTGAACAGGAAAAACATTTAGATAGCACATCTGTACTAACCACAGTGAATGAGTTAAATACTAAAGTTTAACTCAATTAATGAAAAGCTGCCTTTCAAACAGACAGCCATATTTAATACAAAGATAACCAACAAAAGAAAACTGAAAATACTCTTGCTACTTCGTACCATACTTGACTGTAATGGCTAATAAAGATTTATCTGAGTACGGTTTATTTTATAACAAAGTAAACTCAGCCTAATTGTATCTGTAAAGCTAGATAGCCTCAAACACTCTTTAGTTTCAAAGAGTACAAAGGTGTGTATATGTCAGTAAATGTTACACATTACTTGTTACAAAAACAAGTAGTCTATAAAAGTATATTCACTTCCCATGTCACTCAAAATATTTTATATCAAAACATAAAGATTTATTAAAATTAATATTGAAGTATTCATTGATATTTATTACAAAAGAAATCGGTGTATTTGAAAGAAAGTTAATGTAACCCCTCAAAAATACTAAACTAAATAATAGGGTTAATGACAAAACAGGTCAGACAAATAAATAACTTGTTTACCTCATCAGTTACTTAGTGGTATTTGAAAACAATATAAGAAATAGAAATAATAATCAAATATCCTAGTTCTTCAGTGATACATAATACTGAGGTACAAATATTTGCTCGAAACATATTTTACCTCTCGAGCTTCCAAGGTATCGGTCAGTCTCAATGTGTAGTTTGTGTTTAGAACTTTGAGTTCAGGATTTTCTTTATTGGCATCCTAAAAAAGCACGAGGTAAATCTAAATTCTGCAAGTGATTCAGGTCAACTTCAAAAATAAATACTAAAACAATTCACAACCAACAATGAAGACTGAAACAATGTTGAAAGAATAACTGATAAAGTCTATAAGTAATTCATATATAAATTATATAGAGATATATGCATATTTACAGGAAAAATTCCTGATTAAATGGCTTGAATGCAATATTAATCTTTCATACGTATTTATTTAACAATTTTCATAAAACTGTGCCTTATGTAGAATGCAGAAAAACAAACAGGTAACATTTTGAGGAACTCAATTCATCATTATCCAGGTGTAATGATCTTTGTGGCAGTTAAAGAAATGAGCTCACCAATTCAAGGGATATGGCTAATACATGAAGAATATCAAGCATTGTCCTCAGCACCTTACCACTCCATAGCAAGTGAGGAAACCTGGTTAAAAACAACACGAGAGGAAAAGCTAGTTGATAGTCTGATTTATGATTTCGAGTCAACAACAATTAGCATTTTAATATATATTAACATAGAACTGAATCAATAATGACACTTCTAAAACATCGATTAACTATCAAGATTACTACTTTATTTTTTTTGATACTGCAAAGTTAAAAAACAAAAGTCAAGTAGCAGTCAAGACCACCAAGTAGTTTTGTTTGATTATGATGCGTTATATAATTAGCTTAACAATACCGAGGGTGAGTTTATAGTTTCTGTTTTAATCCTGTGCACTATGATTTTTTGATAATGGTAATAAATCTGTTCTAATAGATTTTCCTTCTAATATATATATGTATAATAGTTATGGCTATGTTTACAGGTTGTATTTTATTGTAATAACGTATAAAATTGTGAATTTTTCTCTTAATAATACCTAAGTCATAAGCTCACATGGATCTCAAGTCAGCTAAATACGTTTTAATATAACTTTGAATGCCAATTATAGGGAATAAGAACTTTTCTAGTGCTTCACATAGTACAAGACTTTCTAAATTTTCTCTTCAAAGTAGCCATCTTTCTCTAAACTCTTCACTCACTGTTTTCCAAACACATATTGAACTCTGTGAGCTTCAATTCAGGGTAATTTAAAATGCTCACAGAATTGTTCATAACAGTTGAATAAGAAGCTAATATAAAAGTTCAAACAGTGAGCCAGTGTTGGAGAAATATATTTGACATAAGAATGCATGCATCATTTCTGGTAATCTTTGGTTTGAACTTAGGTATTGTTAATAAAATTTTGGCAAGCATTAGTTAACTAATGACTAGCAACAAAAATTGTCATGTCTGAGTTTCTTTGTTTGTTCTGGGTTAACGGACAAATGAAAAAAAAACATGGATAAGCAGACAGTTTTGTTTGTTTGTTTTGAATTTCGCACAAAGCTACACGAGGGCTATCTGCGGTAGCCGTCCCTAATTAATCAGTGTAAGATTAGAGGGAAGGCAGCTAGTCATCACCACCCACCGCCAACTCTTGGGCTACTCTTTTACCAACGAATAGTGGGATTGATCATCACATTAATAATGCCCTTATGGCTGAAAGGGCGAGCATGTTTGGTGGGACAAGGATTCAAACCCGCGACCCTCAGATTGCGAGTCGAGTGTCCTAACCACCTGGCCATGCCGGGCCCATCATGTCTGAGAACTGTAGGAATGTGTATAGTATATGTGGATGTGTTCAATAATCGTTCATATACAACTACAGTGTAATGTTATCTCACTACATAATGACAAATAATAAGATGTTTGATAACTAATCTCTCATTTACTTCTTACTTTTGATGTGTGACTGGAAAAAAGTATTCATGTTTGAAATATATCTAGTAATGATTTACTGATGACTTTTGTATATATCTCCATAATTTGATGACGAGGAACCCACTTTGAGACTAATGATGGTTGGAGATGGCTTGAATGGGTAGTGAAGAAAACTTTAATATAAGTTTAACATAACAACAAATGTACAATGTTTCGACAAGGTTTTGTCATCATCAGGTACCATGTTGAGATATACACGTGAAATGCCGGTGTGGTAATCCTGGTTTAGACAAATAACAAGAACTAGGTAAACTACCCCATCCCTCCACCCCTGCAAGACAAGAGGTTCAAAGATTTGGCTGCATGGAATGCTAATACGATAACAGCTAGGTACTGTTTATCTACTGCTTTATGTGTAATTATCTTGAATGTCTAGAGGTTGAAAAAAATAAATTAAGATAAAATAAAATCAAAAGAAACTTGAAATTAAAGTATGGCATACACAATAACCCACATGTAAGTACAGTGCTTCTTGGTCCATGGAAAGCAGAACCTAATCTACTTGAAAACTCTCTTTATATTATAGCTGACCAATCACAAGAATCCAGAAGTAACTCTGCTCTATGTGACAACTGTAAAACAGACCTATATACACAAGGTAAAGTAAGACACAATATAGCTATCCCAAGAAACAGTAGATAAATTCCTTGACTGGACTAGTAACAGTGAAAGTAATACCTTAATACCTAGGACTAAATTTAACCTGATGTAGCAAAACCTAAAATAGACCTTCAGAAAAATTCAGTAGTTTTTTTAGTATATGAAATGCACACACATATATAGATATATATATATATATATGTGTGTGTACATGTTTGTATGTATCTATATACATATATATATGTGCATGTGAGTGTGTGTATATATATATATATTATGTGAGACTGAGATATGCATACTACACTGGTAAAGAACTTAAGTATACTTAACACGAAGTTGCTTATAGAAGTTATGTACCTATTTTTCTTAGAAATAATTAGTTGTAATTAAACATGTTTCACGAGATTTTATGAAGTTCTTTATACTATAATAAACAAAACTTGATTTTCCACCCTTACCTGTCAACCAGTCCTGACAAATATTTGTCTGCCACCCTTCGTATTTGTTTATGTGGATGATTAAACTTCATTAAAAGGAAAGTTGCATGTTGTTCAAGTTCTTGGTCTCTCTCATTATTTTTTGGCTGCCAAGAAAATTATATACAGAATAAAATTAGAGATCAATTAATATGTAATCAGAGAATGTATTTATCTTAATATATCATAATGTCAGGCTTTCAGCCAAAAAAAGTACTTTTTAGGGATAAACTTAGGGCAAAGTAGGTGAAAATTTGAAATGTTTCCAAAAAACAGGTTACTGAAACTTTGGGAAACATTCAGTTCAACATGCTGACTCATATTCATATAAAATCAACAAAAAAATGTTTAAAACAAGAGCTTGTTAGTAATAAACAGTATTATGATTACATACTACATCAATACAACAAACTTTTCTTTATACCCGATAAGACCAGATTAGTTACCATATTTCTGGAGATGCAGACACCGATGATGACATCTTAACCTTACATCTATTGGTTTTCTGAAATTTTGTTATTAGCAGAATCAACCTTACCTAAATAAATCCTTGCTCTCACTATAACCATAAAACAACCAATCATTTATATCAGGTCAAGGTTGACATCATCATCAGATCAACATTCCAATATGAAGAAAAATAATTTTCTTTTTAATTTTAGTGTTTTTTGTAAAATGTTAAGTTTTTTTTAGAAGGGCTTAGAAAAAATTAAGAACTTTTAAGAATTGAAGAGCCACTGGGGATACTGTTCATTTATTAGGATTAGATTTTTTTGAATCTCAGTTTACGAACTAGTAAAAATAATAACTTAGGCCTGACTTAAATTAAATCTGCTAAAAAGGCTAAACCCTGTAAGAAGCATTAGGTTTAAAGCAAAAACACTATTACTAAAGATGTTTCACACTTGTATTTTAATTTATACTGATATTTTAAATACATGTAATTAGGTCCCATTAGGACAAAATAATGCAATTGTATATTACGCCTAACTGCAAACAAATTCTTTTAAAAATATTTTAAATATAATTTTTTCAATTTTAACTAAACTGTCATTCCAGCTACAACTAATCAAACTTACGTTACATTCCTCTTTAAGGTTTTAACAGAAATAACAAGGATACATGAAATTTTTATTCAAAATAATGCAATTGTATATTAGGCCTAACTGCAAACAAATTCTTTTAAAAATATTTTAACTATAATTTTTTTCAATTTTAACTAAATTGTCATTCCAGCTTCAACTAATCAAATTTACTTTCCATTCCTCTTTAAGGTTTTAACAGAAATAACAATGATACATGAAATTTTTATTCTTAACTTTGTTTAACGCAAACTGGAGTTTATTATGAGACATTTCTATAAATGTAAATAAAATCACAACCTATATATCCAGAATGTAACTTTATTAGTTACTGAATACTTTGTTTATAAATATAACTAAGATACATCAAAGAAATTTTAATAATCCACAACATATTTACATTAGCTTGACAAGTAAAAGAGAAAGGTATAATTTCAGTAATATTTTGATTACACTGGTGCCAATCTTAATGTACTAATCCTGCTCATGTAACCTCTCATTCTCATATAGTACTTGAAGGTTTGAGCTGTTGCACAATTATACACTCATTCAAAAAAGCATGATGTTATAAACTAATACTAGCTCTAAGAAGACTTCAAACATGAAGTTATAAACCAATACTAGCTTTAAGAAGACTTCAAACATAAAGTTATAAACCAATAGAAGCTTTACCAATACTTCAAACACAAAGTTATAAACCAATACAAGCTTTACCAATACTTCAAACACAAAGTTATAAACCAATACTAGCTTTAAGAAGACTTCAAACATAAAGTTATAAACCAATAGAAGCTTTACCAATACTTCAAACACAAAGTTATAAACCAATACAAGCTTTACCAATACTTCAAACACAAAGTTATAAACCAATAGAAGCTTTACCAATACGTCAAACACAAAGTTATAAACCAATAGAAGTTTTACCAATACTTCAAACACAAAGTTATAAACCAATAGAAGCTTTACCAATACTTCAAACACAAAGTTATAAACCAATAGAAGCTTTACCAATACTTCAAACACAAAGTTATAAACCAATACAAGCTTTAAGAAGACTTCAAACATAAAGTTATAAACCAATACAAGCTTTACCAATACTTCAAACACAAAGTTATAAACCAATACTTCAAACACAAAGTTATAACCCAATAGAAGCTTTACCAATACTTCAAACACAAAGTTATAAACCAATACAAGCCTTACCAATACTTCAAACACAAAGTTATAAACCAATACAAGCTTTATCAATACTTCAAACACAAAGTTATAAACCAACACGAGCTCATGCAACTGTTCTTTTAGAAGACGTACCATCTGAAACTTACTTTGTTAGATATGACATCCAAAAATGCTAAGAAAACCTTGTCTGAAATAGCAAGTATGCACTGCCACATTCCAGCCTTGTCTTTTTGGATTGTCGGATCCTCCAGATACTGCATCATCGGATGAGAAGGAATGTTACCATAGGATTGTTGGGCTCTGCAATACAAAAATGCTATCAAATACATAAAGTTTTATATTTCATTCAATTTCACTGTTGTTATATATAAAATGGAGTTATGACACAAATATACTTGTTTTGAAAGTGATCTCTGAATTCAATTTTTTCATTTTGGCTATGTAACAGGCAAATGTAGAACTTATACCAGTCAACATTATCCTTAATAATAAATAGCTAACAACAGGAGTTGGACTTGCACTGAACAAAACCTCAAACTTTAAAACATCTATGTACACATGTACAACTAACAGTTAAAGTAGGACTTCACTAAACAAAACTAACCTGAAACTTTAAAACATCTATGTACCACTAACAGTTAAGGTAGGACTTCACTAAACAAAACTAACCTGAAACTTTAAAACATCTATGTACATATGTACCACTAACAGTTGAGGTAGGACTTCACTAAACAAAACTAACCTCATAGTTTAAAACATCTATGTACAATGATAAGTTAAGGTAGGACTTCACTAAACAAAACTACCCTGAAACTTTAAAACATCTATGTACATATGTACAACTAACAGTTAAGGTAGGACTTCACTAAACAAAACTACCCTGAAACTTTAAAACATCTATGTACAATGATAAGTTAAGGTAGGACTTCACTAAACAAAGCTAACTTCAAAGTTTAAAACATATATGTACATATGTACAATGAACAGTTAAGGCAGAACTTGCACTGAACAAAACTAACCTCAAAATTTCAATTTTGTACACAGACAATAAGTATGTGCACTGTGGAAAACCCATCTTGTTGATCAGTGGAGTCACTTCTGTTGGATGGTCCAGGTGATTTAACAGCTGATTTCTCAGTTCCTGTAATTCTGCCTAAAACAACAGTAGCAGCCCACCAAATAACTCAACTGTTTTATTCAGAGCTCAGGAATATCATGATATTATAAAAGACTTATAGATACACACACTAAAATACGGATATGGACAGAAAAACAAAATTTACCTCAGCAACTTCACATCTGCAAATTTTTATGACAGTAATATTTTAACTATAACTAGTGCAATCTGTATTTCTAATTCTCAAGGCTTAATATGACAAATTACATATAACAAAGTATTATATCTTTTGCAAGGTTATATACATGCCATGTTAAATATTGATATATATATTCTTTAAAAACAGTGGCACTTAAAAAAAATCCATTTCAAAAATGTAGCTTTGTGAGGTAAATTATTGTATTTCAGAGTTTTTAATTCCTACATCATGAGTACATTGCACTAGTAAAATGATTTTCAACTGTCAAAATAAGTTTACTACATCACATGTAGCCAGTTATGACAACAACATAACATATTCAGTAAAACTTTTTCAACTTAGTGTACATTGTGACATATGTCTTATAATAATTCATTTCATTTAACTTGACTGAAAGAGTTTATTTGTTAAAAATTCTCCTGAATGAATACTATTCACTCATGAATTAACATAGTTACTTTTTGGAAAGTAGGTTATAAGAACAGGTATGTGAGCCTTTTATGTTAATTTTCTGATTTTAACCAGTATGTAGAATGAGAAAAAAAATTTCTCCAATTTTAAAAGTAAACTGTCAGATTTAAAAAATTAATAATATATATGTAAGTTCTTCTTTTTGCCAATTGTTCAAATAAATGGCTTTTACTTGTATTTCTTAATACTATAAATACATATTATGTTGTTGTTGGGCTTAGCATTCTTCTATAGTAGATGTTTGTGACTTGTTAGCGATAAATTCAACGATGAATAAACAGCACAC